CTGAGTGTCGGAGGGCTTCAGGCCAATCAGCTCCAGAGCCTGGACACAACCACACACACAGATCGATACACAGCTCACATGGTGCAAACACACACTGACAAACAGCCGCTGACCAATGAGAAGAGAGTATCGGCTCATGAATTGGTTCAGCTGACACTGTTGTGTCGTGATGAAGTACACAAACACATTTTGTGTTTTGTTTGGATTTGGGAACAAAAAGGTTTTTCCTCGGTTCCCATGAAGCTGAATGATGTTCGTGGCGTTCCCGTCAGCGTGCAGGGAAATCATCACCTCATGCTGCCGCACTGAGGACTCGATAGTTTCTGTGCAGATTTACGTGTTTGGTTTTTTTCTTGCCTCCTGGTTGGTTCATCCTGCTGACTCTGCTGTTTCAACGTCAGCGTGAAGCGTTCAAAGGTGCGACTCACAAACACTCACCTGCTCCAACCTTTCTATCTTAAGGCGGCAGCTGTCGCTGAGGGAGCTCTTCCTCTGAGGAGGCTGACTGCTCGGAGACTCTGGAAGCAGAGGAACACACACGGTTACTGCAAAGACACAAAACAACTACAAACAACAAATGCTGATGAAACACACACACACACAGAAAACAGGGAGAGAATGACACGAAACACGTAACAGTCCACAAAGACACAAAAGAAAACTCAAAAACGGAATAAAAATACACAAAATATCCACAAATCAACTACAAAATGATGCAAAATGACCAGAAATTGTGACAGAGAGATGCAACAATCACAAAATGTTCAAAAATAATTACAAAAAATATTTAAATAAACAACATGAATGAACCATGAGGAGCCAACGAGTATAAGAATCACGTTTACCACCACAAAACCAGGAAATTTGAATTTGAAACGATCGTGTAACACCATTCATCGATACAAATTTAAAGGTCGGTGCACTTAAACAAGGAGGTAACAATCTCAAAGAAATCATGAAGTCACTTTAAATATTGAAAGAATTAATGAGATAGTAAGTAAATGCAAGTTCTGCCTAAATTCTGTGTATTTTACAGGAAAACAGACACGAATTTAAATCACTTTTTATTCACTGTGCAGTTTCATGGTAATTTTGCAGAAAACCATCTTCCTGCATCTTGTTCTCTCTGTGCTGCGGCTGTTTGATGGAGCAGGTTTTATGTTCTGTTGTCCTTTTCTTTTAGTCT